AATAATTGCCCTCGGCTAAGAAGGAGCGCGTGTAATTTAATTGCTCCCTTCCTGCACTTAAGTGCGAACTGTAGTTTCGATTTGAGCAATTGCCCTGCTATAGGCTATTGGCTGTGCTAATTAGAAGGTGGCCACAGCTGTTTTCACTTTAGTGTCTTAGACTATGTATTTATTTGATGGAAATAAAGGAAGCTTTCAGCCCTCCTTGTGTGAAGACCGACGAGTGTAAAGACCTGCGACTTTACCTGCGCAACTACACCGAGCAACGAAACCGGCAACACATTTAAGTATTATTTTTATCTTCCCTTTACACACTCTCCTTTTCTGTCCTCTCTTTTCCACCTCTATCATGCGTTTCCAAAACATTCCGGTTGTCCCTCGACAACGCTCTAACATCACACACAGACGGCAACGCAATCGTGCTAACCTGCATCCTGTGTCTACATCCTCTACTGCACCTCTTTCTTTCTCTGTGGGTCTCTGGAATTGTCAGTCAGCTGTCAACAAAGCAGACTTCATTTCTGCTTTTTCTTTACAATCCACACTCAGCATCTTGGCCTTGACTGAGACCAGGATTCATCCAGAAGACTCAGCAACCCCAGCTGCTCTATCTAACAATTTCTCTTTCTCTCACACCCCCCGTCAGGTTGGCCGGGGTGGGGGCACTGGTCTGCTCATTTCTAACAATTGGAAATACTCAACCCACTCTCCCCTATGCAATTATAACTCATTTGAATCGCATGCAATTACTATAACAGCTCCTATAAAACTCCAAGTTGTGGTAATTTTACCGCCCTCCTGGGCAAAGTCTAGGCACCTTCCTAGAGGTGCTGGATAGGCTGCTGTCCTCATTCCCAAAAGTGGATGGCAGTCCACTTTTAGACTTTGGCGACTTCAACATTCATCTGGACAAGCCTTATGCTACAGACTTCCACTCACTCCATGCTTCATTTGATCTCAAACGACTTACCACTACAAGTACGCACAAATCAGGCAACCAACTTGACTTAATTTACACACGCAATTGTATTGCAGACAACATTCTGGTAAAACCCCTACATATCTCTGACCATTTCTTCATTACATTTAAACTACATTTTGCTACCTGTGTGCCACCAACCCCTATACCGGTTACTTTTCGACGAAACCTACGCTCCCTTTCCCCCTCCCATATTTCCTCTGTACTATCCTCCTCTCTTTCCTCACCTACCCATTTGTCATCTCTGGATGTGAATGCAGCAACTGACACTTTATGCTCTACTTTAACCTCTTGTCTAGACAATATTTGTCCTCTCTCCTCCAGGCCAGCATGGGCTGCCCCTTCTAACCTCTGGTTATCCGATGTTCTTCATGAGCATCGGACCAAACTCAGGGCAGCAGAGAGAAAATGGCACAAATCAAAAGATCGATGACACACAGCTCTATCTCTCATTTCAACCAGATGATCCAACAGTAGCTGCACAGATCTCAGGCTGCCTAGAGGACATCTCGGCATGGATGAAAGAACATCACCTACAGCTCAACCTGGCAAAGACTGAGCTTTTTGTCTTCCCTGCCACTCCAACTCTACAGCATGATTTCACCATCCAGCTAGGTTCTTCTACAATTACCCCATCAACTTCGGTCAGAAATCTTGGTGTAATCTTTGATGACCAGCTGACCTTCTAAGACCACATTGCAAAGACTGCAAAAGAGCCTATGTTACACCTCTCTTTACCTCCTGGCTGCCAGTTTGCGGCTCGCATCAAGTTCAAGACATTGATGCTTGCATATAGAACAGCCAGAGGCTCAGCACCCGCCTACTTCCGCTCACTACTACGAATCTACATCCCCTCCAGAAGTCTGAGATCCGCTAGTGAGCGACGCCTCGTGGTACCCTCACAGAGAGGGTCAAAATCACTTTCCAGAACATTTTCGTTCACTGTTCCTGGCTGGTGGAATGATCTTCCCACCCCTGTCCGGTATGCTGAATCCCTGACAATTTTCAAACGACAGCTGAAAACTCATCTCTTTCGACGCTACTTGACTTCATCTTAAATTAAAAAAAAAAAACTTTGTCTTTCTCTTTATTTATTCCTTCCCTTTCTAGCTTGTACTTATTTGAACAATGCCTGAAACTTGGTATTACGAGCACTTCCTGTGTCTGTTTGCCTCTTTAAGAAGAATCGGTTTATGTATTCCCATATTGTAAGTCGCTTTGGATAAAAGCGTCTATAAACTGACTAAATGTAAAAGCTATG